ATAGAGCAACTCGGTGTTTATTTTCGCTTAAACCCAAGACCAATACAAAGCTCCAGGCACTTTGTTCCTGCGTGATTTATTTTAGAAGCAAAAATAATCTTTCTTTCAACCACTGCAGTAGAGGTTAGAGCTTAGTTGAAGACAGAGAAGGAGAACTTCGCTTTTAACATGGTACCAAAAAGAAGATGAGATCAAAAGACCTTTGAAGTGTAAAATCCAAAGATGGTCTTTTGGTAACAATATAAGTCAAATTTGAACAATCACCAATCTTTTATGGTCTAGAAATTCAAGGAAAATCAAGTTAGATCGTATGAAAAGCTTCTGCAAGTACATAATTTCTATTATGAATTGCAATAGAAGTAGGAAGGTATGAGAATTCTAGAAAGAAAGAGAGATAAAGATGAGAGAGGAATGAAGGGAAGAGAAAACGTTTGAGACGGAGAAGTTCTCCGTTTCATATGTTTCTGTTAAGCTAGTGACGTGTTCTTAATTTTTAATTATGAGGTGTCGTTCTGTTATTGGATGGGGATACCAGTTGATGTGGTATCCGGTTGTACAGTAGACTTTCTCCGAGCGGAGGGGCCTTCGTTCTGGCGTAAGGGGGCACAGACTAAAAAAGACTCGATCCTTCTTCATCTTCGATTCTCCTCTGAACCAGACACCATGTTCCCATCCTAACTCAGCCATTTGCGATCTCCACTGACTGACCAACCCTCATCACCGATTACTTCACCTTCACCTCCACTTAATTTTTCTGTTTTGGGCAGAAGAGAGAGACGATTTCCAGCAATTTGTCGGCGGTTTTTCTGTCTGCTCCTTGGGCGATTTTCCAGCAATTTGTTTGTGGAACTGCTCGCGGCCGCGGAAGCGGGAAGGACTTCGATTATCTTGAAGAGGGCTTCTTCGACGGGATTTTTGGAGGGTTGCTGGAAGTGGAAAAACAGAGAGGAAGAGGGAAGCTTGGGCAGCATACTCTCATTGTTCTCGCCTTTAGGTAACCTCCCAAACAGAAAGACGATGGGAAAGTAGTGAGGGTGATGATCATAGAACTATCCCGTGGGTGGGGTATCTCCGATCGGATCCGGATCTGGTCTCCCCAAAACTCTGCCATTGTTCGCCTTTCTTTTCTTTTCTGAATGTTAATCTATTTGGGTGATTTAGCATGGAATATATTAAAGATGTAGATAGTTTATATGCATTGTTAAATTCTGTGTTCACATTGTCGTTATTGCTGGATTTGGTGGTTGTTGATTTCTGAAAAATGGAACGAATGTTATGAACCCAAAATTACCAAAATTCCCAACATGCAGTGTTTGTTTGATCTGCTTAAACCCTGTTTGGGTCATGTTTTTGGACCGGGTCAACCTGACCCGTTTAGTTTAGGTATTATGGACTAAAAACAAAAAAGCAACATAAAAAAATAATAAAATGATTATGATGACTAGTTTAGTTACCGTTAATGAAATTAATTGATTTTAATTAGAACAAATGGATTATATTTATTCTTGGATGGTGTTATAGGAATAATTTTATATTATTTTTTGGTTTATTTTTTTTTTTTTTTTAATTAGTTGTTTGCTTTTATTTTTAGGATTTTTTTTTGATTAAAAAAATCAATCATTTAAATGATGTGTTGGGTAATATCAAAAGGTAATAAAAAAAATTGTTTTAAAATCATTTTTCTTATTGTTTTTAATTAAAGTAATTAGATTCTTCGACGTAATTATTCTAATTAATGAGTAATGATTGTGGTTAATTCATTTTAATTAATTTCAATTAATTTTAAATTAATCACTCAATTAAATTAACTATCATAATTAATTAATTTAAAATAGTCTACTTTTCCTTAATTAAAGTCAAAATTAAATAGTGAAAAGTAAAGATTGTCTTTTATTGAATTTTAATTTAATTTCACCCAAAACTTTCTGTGATCAAGCAATGTGGTCTATCAATTTTAAATAATTTCAAATCGGACATATAGATTTCAAAATATAGTCAAATGAGTCCCTCAACTTTCAACTTGTTGCAATTGTGCGTGCATGTTCTGGATTCTGTCCAATTCAGCCCTAAAGTTTTTAAATATTGCAATTTTGTCCATACTTTCAAGCTTATTTAGTTAAGACCTAAAGAATAAATAAGTTGAATTAAAACCCCAATTTGAAAATATGGAATTGTGTTTTACACAATGCACGAATGCCCTTCCTCATTCCTAACTAAACTCTTGAATCCCGATCTCTACATAGTCCATTTTAGGTGATTTGTTCTACCTTATAAGACAAGTTGTGACTCCAATTTTCTTAATCTTTCACATTTGATTTTTTTTTTTTTTTCCAATTTCATTTTTTGAAAAACTTCAAGTGGTCATCAACAACAGCAACGATAATGGATTGGACTGGAGAAAGCATCAACTCCACCAAGTCAATTCAGATCCGGAAGCTCCTGACACAGGCCGTCAATCTTGGTAATTGTTATTTTGTTGAAAATCTAAGCCTTTTAGGTTTTGGTTAATTGAAACATTTTTGGTTTCAGGTATGATTGTTACATCAGCTCTGATAATATGGAAGGCCTTAATGTGCATTACTGGAAGTGAATCTCCTGTTGTGGTCGTTCTTTCTGAAAGCATGGAGCCTGGCTTCAAGAGGGTATTTCAATACTTATTATATCAAGTGATTGTTTGTAATGAAACTACTTGCGTGTGCATTTTTCATTATCTTGGTTTTTTTAACCTGTGCCCTGACACAAGTTAATCGTTTTCTCTTTTTTTGTCATAAATTTATGTTGGAAAAACAAAAGTTGACCTTCAATTCATAACTATTCAATTAAATCCATTCACTTGGTAATACTACTGAAATTAATGTCAATTTTTACATTTTTTATATATATTTATGATTGTGATGAAATTCTGCCCTTAACATGTGCCCTAAAACCCTTTGATCATCTTAATTCAACATGAGGTTCCTATTATGTTGCAATGTTGTATCATATGCAGGGTGATATTTTGTTCTTACACATGGGTAAAGATCCTATTCATGCTGGGGAGATTGTAGTTTTTAATGTTGATGTAAGTGCCTATATTTCTGTTCAATTGGGTTCTTTTTTTTTTTTTGCACATATTATGATTTTCTTCTGAATGATAATTACATTTTGGTTAAGTGTTAAATTTAGTTTTTAAAATTTTTATTTTGAATATTTTAGTCCCTAAACTATTTTTTATATTTTTTTTGTCTCTCAACTTTGAATGAAAAATGTGCCTTTTGTCCTTATGTCAATTTTGTCAGTGCAGTTGTCATTTTTTGGTTTCTAAATTTTGTTTTATACAAAATTTTGTACCTAAACTAATATTTGTTGCACATTTTTAGTTCAAAGCTTTTTTTTTATGCACATCTTTGTCATTAAATGAAACTAAAATTGCACATCTAGGGCATTAGAGGAAATTAAAAAAAATGCCAGATGGAAAACCTTAACATACAAAATTGGTAGAAGGACCAAAAAGATGCATTTTTCTTAGTTTAGGTATAGAAAAGTGCAAAAAATAGTTTGAGGACTAAAATTGTTCAAAATTAAAAGTTTAGGGATTAAATATGGTATTTAACCTTTAGAAAATGTCAGCTAGATAGACTTACCGGACAAAATTGATAGAAGGACCCAAAAGTGCATTTTTCAAAGTTGATGGATGAAAAAGTACAAAAATGGTTTAGGGACTAAAATTGTTAAAAATTGAAATTTCAGGGACTAAATGTGGCATCTAACCTTAGACTTTCTTTAGCAACGTTCATAATTTATGTCATTTTGAATTCAATCTTACTGTCTTTTGATGTGTAGGTGGATGCTATTATGTGATTGTATGACCACACTTCCTTTTAGTGCTGTCCCTTAACTCACTCCTTCACTAACTTTTGTCTAATTGTGTGATTTTCATGGCCGTGAAATTCCAATTGTCCATCGTGTTATTAAGGTAAAAGAGTGACTGCCTGCATGTTAGTTTACATGCCTCCATTTTTAAAAGTGTGTTGAAACTTTTGCCTTTTGATTTCCTTCCACTTGTGTTTTTATTTATATGTGGAATTGGTACATTTGCTTGCCAATGCATAAGATTATTGGATTAGTTAACCGCACCATTGTTGCTTCTCCTCATTCTGTATTCTAATGAAAATGCGTATCCATCATTGATTTAGTGGGGAAGAACCTTCTTCAATATTAAAGTAAAGATCCATGATCTATTGATTATTTTGTAGTAATGGCTGCTGAAATACACAGTTTTTTCTCATTATGCTTTTGAGTTGTATGACATGACTCAAAAAGATAACTAGTAGTAGGATTTGAGGAGTTGCAAAAAGAATTGTACTGGTTGGGCTGTGATCTTGGAGAATCCATGATAGTCTCAAATTGCCTATTCATTGTTCATGTCCAGAAATTTATAGTGAGTGTGATAATATGAAGTATTCAATTGTAGAATGCTGATTGCTAGAAGAATGCTTTTTTTTTTTTTTTTCTGTGAATCAGCTTCTGAAATTCTAAACTTGGCTGGTTGAATGCTAATTTTTATTTGATGTATGCAGCTTCTAAGTTCTTTATTTGTATGTGCACTTTTCCCTGGGATCCACAGTTTCTGAAAAAACTGAGTTTTTCAAATTGGAAAGATAAACCATGCTAATGCTTTCTTGTGCAGCTTTGCATGGGAATTGGAAAATGTATCATTTTTATTTGAAGTCGTTTTGTTTCTATTATCAACCATTATCTTATCATCTCGTGAATGTGCTTTTGTTTCAGGTCCATGAGAGACAAGACAGTGAGGAAGTTGAAGTCCTCACAAAAGGTGCTGGGTTTTTACAATAAATATTAAATTATTGGAAATTGACAAAATTGAAAATTCTCATTAAACATTCTTCCTTTATCCTTATTGCTCTTTCAGGGGACAACAATGATGGTGATGACAGGGTTTTGTATGCTCAAGGGCAGCTCTGGCTTCAACGGCATCATATCATGGGCAGGGCCGTTGGGTAAAGCCTCTAGCATTCACTTCTTTTGATTTAAAGTTGTCCTAGTAAACAATAACATTTTCCTGTTGTTGTTGGTTATGCCTGTCCATGTTGAAAAGTCATAATATTTCTAGAGAATTAACTTGCTCACATATTTGCAAAGAGTTGCATATCAAGCATGTAACATTAGTGTGGGCACACATTTTTTTCTTTTAAAACTTGACCATTAGAATGAGGAGAGCCCCTTTCATTTTACTTTCTTTTTTCCCGTGTGGGGATGTTGATTTAGGGGAAAACAGAATAAGCCCAAAAATATTGAACCTCAAACCAAAGTGGATTGCCTCCTTTCTCTCTTGACTTGCTTATATTATGAATTCCATTTCTCCTTAAAGGTTACGGGAGCCTGTTTTACACCTGGGTTGATATGAAGTAGCTCAACCCTGCCACAGAGTTCAGGACTGAAAATTGATTTCAATTTGGACTTTTTTTTCTTGCATGCATTTTGTCTAAATAAATCTCATTTGTTTCAGTAAACAAGTGTTTGAACTCTTTCTCAGAAGAGAAAAATTCCTCATATTGAACTTCTGTGATTTGCAGGTTCTTACCCTATGTTGGTTGGGTGACAATAGTCATGACCGAAAAGCCCATCATCAAGGTTTGTTTATTTACTTTAAAATATGTTGCTGTTATCTGAATCTAATATTCAAGTACAAGATGTGGATGCTTTTCATATGCACAACTACTATCTGTGATTTTGCTTCACTCCTTGCTTCTAAATTTTCTTCCCTTTTTTTTCCATCATACATCATCATACTCTTTGTTTAGGAATTATGACTATGATTCATTGGTGACGTTTTCATACTTATGGAATTTCCTTTTCTGGATAAAAAGTGATCTTTGGGTCTTTCTTGCAGTATATTCTCATTGGTGCATTAGGATTGCTGGTTATTACTTCCAAGGACTAAAGATGAAGCAATAGCTGAGTTTGGTCGACTCAAAAGGAGAACTTTCTAAGTTTTTCTCCTATACATGTAGACTTAGAAAAACTTCAATCATAAAGGATAGATTTAAAGGACCGAAGTTGATTATGTATTACAGGCTTCAAGAACTCTGTTTTATTCTATAATTTTATGGATTTTGGGGCCACCTCTTATTTCTCACTGGATTGAAGTTTGATATGGTTTTAGAAAATAGAAGTGAAAAGCATAGAGAAAAAAAATGTTCATCATTATGCTCAGAACTTTCTGGTGTTTCTCAATTAAGCCCTCTCTAATTCTTGGATAATTAAGAAACACTTCTAATTTCATGTCAAGTAAAATTGATTTATCCTTAGTAGTTAGGGATAATAGTTACAATTAACATATCCAAATATGAAAACTACAATCAATTATAAATGTTTATGTAGTATACAGCTTAATTATCAAAAGAATATAAATGATAAAAAAAAGGTGTTACTCTAGTTTAGGTTGCACAATACTTTTCATTAGAAGGGAGGAGGACTTACTATATGGGAGGTTGTCTCCTTGTTTAGGTGCACTTGTGAAAAGATTTTCTTGTAGTTATTGTTGTCTCCAAAATCTTTTAGGTCGTGTGGCAAATAAGATTGCAAAAGTGCGTCATTCACTCTACTCTACTCAAAGTGAGAAAGAGGGATTCTTGGCGACTCTCACTACTTCTAAGCGTGGAACTCAGTTATGAGTCAATGGAAAAGCACCAATTAAATAAATTATGAGATGTGTCCTAATTAGATGATTATCGAAGAAATGGGGGGTGTATTCTTGCATAAAAATCCATAAATAATTATCTTGGAAGAATATCAAGAACTTCCGACAACTAGAACAAAAATGTTAGTTTACTTATCAAAATAAAAGAGAAAAGTAAAGGAAAAGAGAAGAAAGAGAGTGCATGGCAAGAAAACTGAATTGCAAAGAGGAAGTGTGATGTTGTCGAGAAAACATGAAAGCATAAAAAATGAAATAAAAGTTTAAGTATAAAACTAAACTTAAAAGAAGTTAGGAAGATGAATTTAGGACAAAGTACAATAAATTGAATTGTAAGAAATTAAATACATTGGTGGAGATATTTAAAACAAAATAATAAAAATTAAAGCTAAAACTAATGACAGTGTAGAGCTGAGCACTAAATTAGGAAAACTATTTGAAAAAGTTAGATCTAAACTAAGATATTGCTTGTAAAAATTAAAATACAGATAGTGCTTGTAAAAATTAAAATACAGATAGTGCTTGTAAAAATTAAAATACAGATAGTGCTGACCTTGTTATGTGAGAGGCTATTCCTTCTTGCTTGATCTTATTATTGAGTATTTATAGTATCTTGACAGCATGGTGGAGTGCTGTTGGTAGCATCTTTGAAACTAATGGCAATGTGAAAATTGCAACATCCTCGTGAATCAACGGCAATAAGGCGTAGAGTTGCAACAAAATTCTAAAAATTAGCAGCAATATACTAAAGATTTGTAACAAACCAACTAATTTGCTAACTATGTGGTAATTATGCCTAAACTGATTTGAAGATAAGAAGATAAGATTGCAGCTACTAGCTTTTGACTCCAAATTCAGAACCAGTGAAAGACATGGCTCTTTTTAATTAATTTGCAAATATAGGTGTAAATAGTTATACTTCCTAACTAGTAATTAAGTGTAATTGTGGTGGTTGAGAGTGAATTAGGTAATCTTCAATCACTTATGTACTTTACGGTAAATATCTTTATTTTAAAATAATTAAACACCTCATCAAAAACACATAAACATAATTTTTTTAAAAAAAAGAGAAAATTGTTTTACATGTTTTCTTTCTAAATTTTTTTCAA